ACATACATTCATATATGTAATTTTTGGAAGTACTGGATATTATTTCTATATTCATTTTGTTTTTAACATTTGGGCTTTAGTTTATGTCTGAGGCCACTGGGAACCCTTCTCTCCAGTATATTTTTGAATAGTTTTGAGATTTCTCAACCATATGAGTTGACAATGAACCTATACTTCTCAGAGACACAAAACTAGAAAAGTGTGGCTTTAAAACAATACTTGAAGGAAAATACAGAACAATAAAATCATACTATTGCACATTTAAATAAAAACTCATGAAATTTTAGACTTCAAGTTTCAATTTTCTATTTTATAGATGAAGAGGTTGAGGCCCATATTGATTAATGAATAATATCAAATGATGACCTTACCTGTTTTTTGTTTACTTCCTTGGTTGTGGACATATGTGCTGACTCTGCTGTTTACATTGGGTCCCTGCCTCAGCAGGGCAATGGGCTTGAATTCCCACTCTGTCTCCTCCTAAGTATGTGCCAGGGGCAAGTTACCTGGGCCTCTGATCCTCAGTTTTACATCTTTACACTAACTACAGAGTGACTGGAAGACTTACCCAAAATTATGTATGTGAAGTATTTAGCAAAATGTACCTCAGAAGGAAGGTTGGGCAATCTACTTTCGTAGTGATACTGCCTCAGAAACCCAAGGAGGGGTCACTATGGGTCAGGGCCAACTCGATGGCACGTAAGAACAACAACAACATACACATGATGAAGTCCTTGGTGGTACAAATGGTTAATGAGCTCAGTAGCTAAACAAAAAGCTGAAAGTTCAGGTCCACTCAGAAGTGCCTTGGAAGAAAGACCTGGCTATCTAGTTCTGAAAAATTAACCATTGAAAACCCTATGGAGCATAGTTCCATTCTGACATATGGAGTTGCCATGAGTCAGGGTCATATATATTTTTAGACATATGATAAAAGTGAGTTCCTTCCTGTGACGTTGTCCTTTGGGTGGATGAAGAGCAACACTTCTGCTATGCAGAAGATCTATTATTTTTTGAACAGCAGCTTCTTCAACTGAAAATAAAATTATGATAAAGACAGCCATCCTTAGTTGTAGGCCTATTATGAGCAGGGCCTTCTGCCAAGTACTCACTTACATGATCTCATTTAATCCTTACAAAAGAACCCTATGAAAGGTACACAGCTGTAGGATGTAAAATCAGGATTTGAACCCAGGTCCTAGGCCTGCCTTCAAAGTTTGGGCTCCTTTATATTCTACATATAAATAATGTTAATAAGATGATCCATGGAGGGTTGTTGTTGTTGTTATGTGCCATTGAGTCAGACCTGACTCATAGCGACCCCTCCTTGGGTTTCTGAGGCAGTATCACTACAGAAGTAGATTGCCCAACCTTCTTTCTGAGGAGTGGCTGGTGAGTTTGAACCGTCAGCCTTCTGGTTAGCATTCAAGTGCCTCAGGCACTATGCTACCAGAGGTCCTACATGGAGGGTACCATTATTATTATTATTATTTTGGAATTATTCTGACTTCTTGGAGGTGGTAACTAACCTTCTGCTATCTTGATACTTGCATGAAACTTTCCAATTTGATTGACTGCTGTCTTTCAGAGTTTTAAAAAATTGACTTATGTGGACTCATGGTGGTGTGTGGGAGGGGTGTACATTATCTTTGGTGGCAGACCACAGGCAAGAGATGGGAAAAAAAAAAATCTGGAACTGAAAACTTAAAAGATACTATGTGTAGGTTATTAACAAGCTATGTGTCTACAATACATCTCTGAAAAACAGAAGTGCACTTGTGAACTACTGACTTTGTATTCTTAACCCTGACCCTTTGGAAAACCTCGTGGGACATGATTTCATTTTTTCATGATAGCAGCAAATACAGACATCCATATGAAGACTATCCCTCTGAGTTTATGGTTCTAGATGTCTATTCTAGTCTAGTTTATTTTATAGATGAGGAAACTGAGGTCTCAGGAGTTACAGACACCTGTCCAAGAGGTATGCTGCTTCTTATCTATGAGCACAGACTTTTAGGTTCATGTTCTCTTTTAAAGACAGGATTCATGCATGGGTGAGAGAAAAGGAACTACTTTGTGAAGGCAAGTCTATGGAAAGTAAAAGTTTTACTCTGTATAAATCCCAGGTTGTTTGTACCACTCTACTAGATTGCCTCCAAAAATGGCTACCTGCAATTCTCTCTATTTTTCTGCATACAAACTTCTCCTGCCATCAAAGCCGGAGTCTATTTCACCTCTCCTTGAATCTGGGCTGGCCCTGTGACTTGCTTCCACTAGTGGAGCATGACAGAAGTGATGTTGTACCAGTTCTGGGCCTAATATCTTAGGACTAGATAGCTTCTGCTTTTGATCTCTTGGGGCCAGTTGCCATGTTGTAAGTAAGCTCTGCCCAGACAACTGAGACTAGAAAAGTGAAAGGAGAAAACAAGACACCTCAGTCTCCAAGTAACAGCCAGCACCAAGGGACCAGGTGTGTGACTGAGGCCATTTTGGCTGTTCCAGCCCTATCCTAACTCCCAACTGAATGGGTTAGGAAGTATTCTGGAAACTTCTGCTGTGTCACATGGTTACTGGGGCTGGTGATTCTAAAATTTGCCCATCAGGTAGCAGGCTGAAGACTTCTTCAAGCTATATCCCAAGAGCCAGAGGTTAGGTGAAAAGAAGATTTCAGGGTCAAGAGAGAGCTAGCCTTGCTAGAACCTTCATTTATACACTGGAGGAAGGCCACACCCTCAAGGAAACTCTCCTTTCAAATGATTGGCTGATCACATTAGATCATATCCTGGAGGTGATTACATTATATTACATTGTAGAAGAGTAATCAGTCCAAAGCCTGCCAAACCATTGGGAATCACAGCCTAACCAAGTTGACACACAGCATTAACCACCACAGGTAGTTTGCTATACAGTAATTGATGACAGAGTGGTCACAATTACTAGCGCAGTCTGGGCTGCATTTAGTACCACATGGGTCTTGGAGTTAGATGTCCTCAGCTGGATAGTTGTCCTCCTGAGGTCATGATAGGACACAGGCCAGACAGACTATTAACAAGTCCCACTGCTTGAAGGGTTTCTTTGTGTAACAGTTGGGGATATCTGACAGTCAAACCATAGTGGTCCACTTCATTCAGCCATGATCAAAAGGCTTAAAATATGACTTCTTTAGAGGAGCTCAGTCCTGTTTAATTGCAGTTGGGTTCTGCTTACCCTGGGTAAAGCAGATGCCTGGTCTGTCTCCCTCAGTGGATCCATCGTCCAGCACATCCTTTCCTGAGTGACAGATGTTTAAATAGGGGCTATTTTTCCTCTCCCAGGCTTTACATTGTGTCACAGTTGGCACAAATCCCAGGGCCGAGAACCATGCTGGAGATTAGGCCAGCCCAGACTATAGGATCATTTTTCTAAAAGTACCAAGTTCAGGGCCAAAAAGTAGTTAATTATTCTTAAACAAGTAGTTAAATATTCTTGAACAGGGTTTCTCAACCTCGACACTGTTGACAATTCTTTGTTGTGGAGGACTCTCCTATACCTTGTAGGAAGTGAGCAACATTCCTGGCCTCTCCTCACTAGATTCTAGTAGCACTCCATTGCAGTTGTGACACTTGCTCTTGAGTGATCTCAAAATTTCACAAACAAGACATATTCTTACAGCTACTCTTAGGTACACATAAGTCATGAAGAAGATGACTACCAGAAACTTGAAATGGCCTCTTTGCAACCCACAGTAGTACTGGGAACACCCATAACACTAGCCAATGGGACAGTACCAGAGTTAAAATAAAAAATAAAATGATACCAGGCTTTTTATGACTTTATATTTGAGAGAATCCATTTCTTTTGGTCAAAAAGCATGGAGGCACACTTCTTCTACTGTTTGTTATTTATTCACACAGCGGAAACAGTGTGTGTATACATGAATATGTGCTCTCCCTACTGAGAAGATGAGCTACCAGCAAGAAAGGCCATTTCTGTTCTAAGCCTCCTTTGTCTAAAAATTATCACATCCTCATTTTCTCCTTTTAAATATTTTTCACTTTTCTATAATTATATCAGAGGAAACATTTACCTTGATTTTTCTAACATCAGGGTTGATTGAGAATTGATTTAGGAACAGTCACTCTGGGATAATGTTTTCTTGGCTTTTGAACTAAGACGCCTACAAGAGGAGACACTTGAATGTGATTTTCATTTCAGTGACAACAGTCAATTTAAGCAGAGAATGAAGTAACTTCAATCACGACTTGTAATTAAAAAGTGCAACTCCTGAGCAACTTAGTGGCTGTTTGGTCTGTCACTTTAAATTCCCAAGCTTTAAAGGGGCACAGAAATTCAGGACAGAGGACACCTTCAGATACTAACACTCCCTTTCCTCCCTTGGGGCATGAATTGCATCACAGGTTAGTCCCACCTTAAGGAAGGGCTTGGTAGGCCTGAAATCCATTGGATGGTGTCCTCAGAAAAGAAAGGAGAGGAAGATTTGAGATGTACAGGGACAGAGGGGAGAAAGCCATGTGATGATGGAGACAGAGATTGGAGTTATGCTGTCACAAGCCAAGGAAACCTGGAGTTAGTGGAAGCAGGAAGAAGCAAGCAAGGACTCTCCTCTGGAGCCTACAGAGGGAAGATGGCCCTGCCCACACCTTAATTTTGGACTGCCAGCCTCCAGAATTGTGGGTGAAGAAATGTGTGTTGTTTTAATCCACAAAGTTTGTGGTAATTTGTTATGGAAGCCATAAGAAACTAATACAGTGAGTTAGCAATGACATGTGAGGACATTTCTAAGAGAGCCTTCACAAGCAAAGTAGCCTCCTAGTTGTGCCACTATATGTGTAGACATTGAAAGGACAGGACTGACAACCTACATTAGTAGTTCCACCATGGATACTCCAAAATACCTATATGTAACTCATTGATCTAATTCAGAGAGGTCAGGCTTTCCCTGTCTCAGCTAGTTGTGGGCCTCAGAATATTACAGCTCTTCCTAGCTATGGACATACCTATAGACACCCTCCACCAGAATGAGAATCTTTTTCCAAGCTCTGTGAGTTCGTGGCTGGCCGTAGATTACTGCCTCTCTCAGGAGCTTCTCTAGGTTTTGTGGGTCTAGAAATAACAAAAAAAGAGAAATTGAGTTATGAGAGGGTTTTTCTTTTCCTCCTATTTTTTTCTCTAACTGGCTTCAGATTTTTAGGCTCAGGCTCACACCTAAATTTTTAGAGAACTGACTTATTAATAGAGAATACCTGGGGAGAAAGGGAGTTTAAGAGTTAGTAAAACTTAACTCTGACAAGATGAATGGTCAGGTTTGTACCAGAAGGCAGAGTTAACCACACCAGAGGAACATGGTTTCATAGGCTTTTAGAGGCTCTCCTCTCCTAGATGCAAATTAAAACCACAATGAATTTCCACCTCACCCCTACTAGGATGGCTAAGATTAAAAACAAATAATAATAAAAAAGGAAAATAACAGATGTTGGCAGGATATGGAGGAAACCCTCACCCACTGCTAGTGGGAATGCAGAATGATGCAGCCACTGTGGAACACATTCTGGCAGTTCTTCAGAAACTTAGACATAGAGCTACCATATGATCCAGCAATTCCACTCCTAGGTATATATCAGAAGTAAAAACAGATACACAAACAGAAACTTGTATGTCAACATTCTTTGCAGCACTATTCACAATAGCTATAAGGTTGAAATGATGTAAATGTCTACCAACAAGTGAATGAATAAACAAAATGTGGCACACACTTGCAATAGAATATTATTCAGCCATAAAGAGATATGAAGTCCTGATACATGGATGAACCTTGAAAACATGCCAAGTGAAATAAGTTAGTCACAAAAAGACAAATACTATCTGGTCCTATTAAAACAAAATAACAAGTATAGGTAAATGTATAGAAAACAAGGATTATTTGTGGTTGCCAAGGATAGGAGGGAGGGGGAAAGGAGGACTCATTGTTTAGGAAGCAGTGAATTTCTGTTTATGGTGATGGAATTTGGCAACGATTATGGGTGATAGTTTCACATGATTAATGTAACAATATCTGAAAAATGTTAAATTGGCAATAAATAATAAAAAAAAAAAAACCTAAAAACTCCCCTGCCATGGAGGGGACTGACATTCTACACTATGTGCATCTCTTAGGCTTAAATTTTGTTGCCAGGCTAAAAGTAGTTGATATAATCAACCCTCAACATTCATTCAGACAGGGATATATTACAGTTTAGCCTAGTTTGCATGAAGAGCAGCATTGCTGGTAATGGTCTCACTTCTTATGTTTTGAGACTTAACTTTTGACATACTCTTACCTCAGAGGTTTAAAAACTTTAAGGAAGTGTCTAGGTGTATACCCTACAGACATAGTAGGAAAGCCTTGAACAAACACATGCATAGCTATATTCATTGCAGCATTATTCACAAAACAAAAAGATGGAAGCAATCTAAGTGTCCATCAATAGAGGGATGAAAAAACAAATGTGATACATACATACAATAGAATAGTACTCTACCATAAAGAATAGTGATGAGTTCTTGAAACATATAATAATATAGAGGAATCTGGAGGACATTATGCTGAGTTAAATAAGTCAATCACAAAAGGACTAATATTGCATGATCTCACTTTTATAAAAAGAAAAGAATAAATATATAGAGACCAATGTTCATTAGTGGTTACCAGGGATGATTTGTGTGGGGGAAGGCTGTCACTCTCTAGATAGTAGACACCTGTTATATTATTTATTGTGCTGGCAGGATATGTAGCATTGAATGGGGGTGAAGACAACACAGCTTGACCAAAGTAAATGATGTCAGTAAGAAGTACACAAGAGAAAAGGGAGTTTTTGATAAAGGATATGACATATATAATATTGCAACAATACCAACAAAGAATTATGTATGTGGTTATATATGTACATATATATGCATATATATAAGTATGGGTATGTATATATGTGTACCTATGTGTGCACATGTGCTCATATGGATGCATCTATATGCATGTATGTGTATGCAAGTATATACATATATATTGTGAACTACATAGAGGGCACAGTTACCAATATTTGTTAGACATAACTAAACACTTCACAAGACTAGTTTTCTGGGTTTGAAGGCTTAGAATCATAGTCTCATGGGGCAACTCAGTTAATTGGCAAAATATAATTCCTAAAATTTATGTTTTAGATCCCAATGTGGTGAGTAGTGTCTGGGGTCTTAAAAGTTCATGAGAGGCCCTAAGATGCATCCATCAGTCTCTACTCATCTGGAGCAAAAGAGAAAGCAGGGAATCAAAGACTTAGAGAAGAATCTCATCTATAGGATCAGCAGTCTACCTGGACCACGCCTCGTTTACCCTGAGACCCAAAGAAATAGACAGTGCCCAGCTACCACCAATGGTCTTTTGGATCAGGGTCATACTAGATGGATCCTGAAAGAATGGGAGAAAAATGTGAAACAGAATTCAAATTTTTAAAAATTCCAGACTAACTAGATTGGTTGAGACCAGAGGACTCCTTGAGCCTCTAGTTCTGA